GGAAGATGTTGTGGGCCAGTCTCGTGTTGCTTTTACTATTTCATCATTTACATGGATTTCCTGTGCACGAACTATAAAGCCTGTAGAGTTGTTCAAATCATGTTTCGTCATTATGATGGCGTCACGACTAAGGCTTTCCTGGATGTAGCCTTTTTGTAACAAATCCAACTCTTTGGTTTCTTCGAGATTGTATGTTTGACGAGGTATGATGGAACCTTGAATTAGATTGATTTGGCGTTGTTTTCCTCTTTTCAGTGGTAATTCGTTAGGTAGATCACCTAACACTTCTCGAAAATCCTATAAAAGAGATAAAAAAAACACTAGGCAAATCCTTGTTAATGTTAAAAATCGAAACAATTGATTCCCTAAAGCGAACAAGGATGCAATGCTGTTTGTAAAGAAGGTTCTCTCTCAATTCTTTTGCGCTCACACATAGATTTTGAGTCGCTCTTTTCTTCTCACATTTAGGTTCACTCACCTCTCATGGGTCATTATTCTTTTGGCTTTTATAACTAGTGACCTCTTTTGCTTTTGCCTCTTTCTCAACTTTTTCTTTTTTTGCTTTCCCTACCTCTTCACAAATTATCATTTGATCTTTAGGGACTGGAAGTGTGTCATTCTTTGCTGGTCGTTCTTTCTCCTTGTCAGGTTTGTCATCTCTTGGCTTTTTTAGAGAAGATGGAGTAGAAGATGAGGAAAGATTTGAAGGATTACCTTGGTAAGAGGATGAAGTACCTTGGTAATGTTCACTGAATCGAGATCTCATTTGGATTTGTGCTTCGATTGTCATTGCTTTCTTTAGTGCGTCTTCAAGGTTTTCGTACCCTTGTAGATCAAGAAGATCAATGATGTTTGAGTTTAAACCGACGATGAATCTTGACACGGTGACCTCTTCTTTTTCGGTTATGTTAGCCCTATTGAGTAAGGACTGCATCTCCTTATAGTACTCTTCAACTGAACTTCTACCTTATCGAAGTCGGTCTAGTCTAGTTTAACTTCACGTGTATAATGTGTCGGTAGGAATCGCTTCCTCATGGTTTGTTTAAGGTCGGTCCAAGAAGTGATTGTTGGAATTTGGAAGTTCTGGATCTTTTTCCTTGTTTGCATCCACCAAGTTCGAGCACATCCTTCGAATTGTGTGGTGATGAGGTGAACTTGTTGAGCTTGGGGGCAGTCATGGTATGCGAACATGAGATCAACTTTTCCTTCCCATTCGATGTACCTGTCTGGATCATTGTCTCCTTTGAAAGACGGGATCGTGAACTTTGGTTTTGAAAAGAGTTCGGGTGCTTGAAAACGTGGTTGTTCTCGCCCGGGTACCAAAAGTTTAACATTGTTTGGTCTTGGATTCTGGTTTGGTAGATCCAGTTGTGGTTTTTGTCGTTCTCTCACGATTTCATCAAATCTTTCAACTTGAGTCGTGAGTCGGGTAAGTGTGGCTAAGATAGCTGTAAGCGTCTTGTTGTTATTGTCGCCCATCCTGAAATCATAACACTCAAAAGAAAATTTTAAAGTAAAATAAAAATAAAAGGAAGAAAATTCAACAAAGCAAGAAACCTCACAAGTCACTCCAAGAAAGTAACAGAACGAGAGGCAATTAAGCCGATCTTGTACTCTTTAAAACTCACTTTACCAAGTAGTCTTCCACAGTTCGTATCGAAGTTTGATTACTAGCAAAGGCGATAAGAAAAAACTTAAAAGTTCTAAGAGGCCAAACAAGGGTTAGACTCCAAGAGAACGAGAATGCAAAGAAGGAAGAAGTATGCAAACTCTTTAGTCCTACTAACACAAGGAAGATAATGTGTTAGATAATGCAAAAGAACAATAACAAGGAAAAAAAAGAACCTAAAGCACTAAGAGTCAAAGAAAAAAAAAAGAACCAACCCAGAAACCTGGAAAACGCTAGATCAACTTGAGCAACGTTTTTGAATGGGGTTACCGGTGTCAAAAAATTCTGGAAAAATTCTTGAATGTCTTTCGATGCGTCAAGAAATCACTTGTAAAATTTCAGAACCAAATACCTTCATTAGTATCCAGTAGACTCTGTTGAACAGTGAGTCCTCAAACAATCTGTTTTTCTTGATCGCTTTGTTCAAAGGTGTTGTTGATCTCCAAAAATTATGTTTTTTTGTTTGAATGATCTTCAATATATGAATTTTCAATCTGGAAATTTTCACCACGAAATTCCTCCTGAAATATTTTCAAGAAATTCGACAAGATTCTAAACCGAATCTGCCGATGAAACTTGAATGATGTATTTGAAGGCTCCAATGAACTCCTATTGGGGTGAAATTTGGACTGGGGATTACTCTTAGAATGAATATGATATATGGATAAAATCAGCCATAAATACCTTCGTTTAAAATTTTTTGAAATTTTTTGAAATTTTAGCTTTTTTGGCCTTTTTTTTTTGTTTTTTATTGTTTTTGTTTTTTTGTTTTTTTGAAAAAATAGCAAACTAACAAGAAGGATTTAAATCTAAATTAAAATTAAATAAAAAGAACCTGAAACGCTGAATCTTTTGTGAACTAGCTCCGTTGGGGTACCTTGACGGTTTTGTGTGCAAGAACAAGCAAGATTGCTTGTTTCTTTCCATGAATCGACCCAAATCCGATACCAATTGATAGGGAAGCGGTGGCTTGTTAATGAACGTTGCTCTTGTTGAAGAATCAAACCTAGAAAAGATCTAGACTCGATGAAGAACAATAAGGGATGAATCGGGAAGGTGGCGGCAATAGATAGGGTTTCTTTTTGGTGCTGGAAACAAGATAAAAATAAGATTAAAATAAGATAAAGAAAAGATAAATGAATTGCAAATAAAATAAGATAACCAATAAATCAAAAGATCTTCCTTATGAAGGTGAACGATAAAGATGATTGATGACGTGGATGGATATGTGGAAAATCGATGGATAATGTCCTATCGAGCCCTCCTAGTCGCAATGAAAAGGCAAACACGATAATATGGCTCTAACCAACCCTCTTAGTCGCGATGAAAAGGCAAATTGGATTGTGAAGATTAAACTCCCTCACAAGAACTTGAAAGAACTCAAGGAGAAGAAGCTTCGAAGGCACAAGGCAATCAACACTTGTAAAAACGAACTCTCGTTGTATTATTAATCAAAGAAATCTTGAATTACAAAGTTTAATGAAGCCTCCTTTATATAGGGGCTGAGTTCTAAAGGTCCTAAATAACTAATGAATAAAATAATAATAAACTAAACATATATTAACTCTAATTCCTAATAAAATAATAATAACTAAAGATAATATTTTTAACCCAATCTTAATTCCTAATAAAGTAATAAATCTAATCCTAAAAGATAATGCATCATCCTATATTAAGTTATATTACAAATAATCAATAAAAATATTAAAAATTCGTAATATTTACAAAATCCCGTAAAGGATTTTCTGCATGCACCGTCTTCAGTAAAATAGACATAGCTTGAGTTCCCGATATCGGATTGATGCGATTCAAGAACCGTTTGAAAGATAAGAGACATACGGTTGTATCTCCAGAAGACATCTTGACTAAATAAGATCAGGATCTCATTCAAAAAGTCGTCGTAAGTCTGCTTCTGTTCTGATCTTCTTTTCCAATGCTTGGACGAGTGGATCATTTGGAAGAGTTATTACTTCTTCCTTTGATGTGAGCCTTGTGATGCATGTATCATTTCACCATCAAGCTTTCTAAGCAGAAGTCAGCAAGTACCGCCCATATTGGTGACAGATCCAGTTGTTGAGCCTGCAAGTACACTGGTTCAGGAGCTTCAGAGCAAGTCTGATGTCCGAATCAAACATGAGCTACCTGCTATTAAAGGTCCAGAACAATCGAAGTACAAAAGTACCGTGCCAGACCAATTAGAAGCATCCTCTTCTGGAACGTCATATTGCCTGGATTTAGGCACCATCCAGCATAATTTCTCCCTTCCCACCTTTTTGGAAGGTGATGTCCAATCACATCCTCGGAACAATCTTCCATTTACACCTAATACTGATGGATTGGCACCTGACACTTTGTTATCAAGGGGATATGATTCTCAAAAGTATCTTCAAAACCTGCTTTAATTATTGTGGCAATCCAAGAGATATTGACACAGAGATGTCCACTGCTGCAATAAGCTCTTAGTCGTTTGGCGTGCCAAACATACCTTTCAAAACTGGATGTTCAAATTACGTTGCCATAAACGATGCAGAAGTTTTAAATGGCAGATTGTGGGCCAACCAAACTCAACGTATGCGAACATATACAAAGGTATGTAAGAAGCTCAAATAGAAATGCCGCATGTACATTATAATCAGATTTTTTTAACCTCAAGACTTTCCGAGCCTAAACATGAGTTCAAGTTAAACAAGTATTGTTTTTATTCACTAGCGTGATACATATATGTTATGAGGAAGCTTAAGTAAGTCCCAATGTTATAGTATAACCTCTAAATGTTTGGTGCTGGTTTGAACTTGTGAAGGTGCAAAAGCGAGGCTCTGTGGGAAGGTCAATTGATGTGACTCGCTACAAAGGGTATGATGAACTCAGGCATGATCTAGCACGTTTGTTTGGTATCGAGGGGCAGATGGAAGATTCACAAAGTTCCGACTGGAAACTAGTTTATGTGGATCACGAAAATGACATATTACTTGTCGGCGATGATCCTTGGGAGTAGGCAACGACACCAGTTTGAACTAACTTCCAGCATTTGGTGTTTCTGTGATCTCGGAAATGTGGCAGTTCCCAATCAAACTTGCAGTGAGATTGATAGTGGAAATGCATGGAGAGGACATTATGATGGTACCTCAGCTGCCACTTAACGGATAAAAGTCTCAAAACTCAAATGCTAAAACAAATTGATTTATCTTCTGCCATTGATTGGGCTTTGCCTAGGCTCATTGATGAATTGAATTTATGCATATTAAGAGAAAGTATGTTGATTCAGATGGTGTTCAATTTTGAAACCACTGCCATGAAAAATTGGCAGAGCATCCACTTTTTGACTTGGGAGCAAGTTATCATTTTAATGTATAATATAACCATATTTAAAGGTAGTCTGACATTATCAGGCATGCTTTGTAGTGGTAAGAAACAATTAGCATCAATTTTTGCTCATGTTACAGCAGATACGATTGGAAATTTCTTTCAAGTGAACTGAATATATCAATGCAATATCGTTTTCTATTTTCTCATATCAGAAAGTGAATTGAAGCAAAGAAAATGTTACAAAATCCTTGTGCCTTGTGGCCTACTCAACCATTATAAATCGTAGTTGTAAACCTCACAGCATAATCTTATCAAGTCAACTAAAAGCATAGCCATTACATCTGATGCTCTGAGAGCAATGTAATTAGTTCCATCATTGCCTTTGAAGTCATTCCCTGCGTATTCAGAATACAGGCAACAGATAGAGGCTTCCGGTTACCTTCCTCGTTCAGAGTACCAGGCCCAACAGCTAACACCTGTTTCATTTCATTCTCCTTAATGAAAACTCTGTCATTTAGAGGCTTGAGGTCTTTAATGTCATCGGCTCCAAGAATCCCAACAATGTCATCCTCCTTCAAGATAAGATGATTCAAATCATTAAACTCAACCTCAGTTCCAGCATACTTGGAATAAATGACCTTTGCACCATTCTAAAAAACATAGGATTTCGAAAGTAAATACGGACACAACAAATCCACAAAAAAACAAAGAGAAGAATGTTGATTCGATGAAATTGACCTTAACAGAGCTTTCCAATTTGTTCTTCCCAATTGTCTTTCCCTCACCAATGGCAACCACTTGACCTCCCTAAGGCTTTGATTGAGCTGTTGTTGGAAGCAAAATCTCACCCTCAGCCTTCTCCTCGCCAACACTCGATCACCCAAGGGCTTGAACGAGACGTACTGATACAAACAAATAAGACGATAGAATAAAATCCTCGGTTTTGTATTTTCAGTTGATAACATATTTTCATCCCCAACATAAAATCTGGTACGTCACTAAATAGTACCTTATAATATAAGCAAGCATAGCAACAGATTCCACTCAAGTCCAATTCTTTCATTCTATTCTAAATAGAATTCGAACCATAGTATTAAATTGTGATCGCAACACTACATACCAGCTAAATCATAACGGTTTTCAATGTCAGTGCAACACCGCAATGGAATTTTAGTACTATGATTACAGTAAGAATTACCTTAGGAGCAACAATGGCAGCCGCTTTCACAACGAGACCGTTGAAGGACCTTTTGGTCAAAGACCCAGGCTTTGAAGCTCCAAAAGAAGAGAACTTTACAACTGATGGCCTTATCCCTTCAAGGGAAGCTGAGTTCCTTACTGATAATTTCATTGATGATGCTATTAGCTGAGGTGTAGCCATGGCTGCATTGAAACTTTCCCAGGAAACAAATGGCCTTCAAATAAATCCATGTTTCATAGTTAAAAACAAAGAGAGTTTACCTTTAAAAATAGAACAGACCATTGAGAAAAATGGGGTCTATGGGGTCTTTGGGAAATCACTGAAAATGATAGGGTTCGGTGGGTCTAAGATGATAGAAACCCTAAAGAGGCTTCTAATGGATTTTATTTACCGAATAGAAACTTCTGGACTATTTGCCCAACAAGAGCGAAAAATAGTTAAATTTCAAAATAATCAGAATATGAGATGATACATTTTTTAGTCTATTCATGCTCATGCAAATATGTCTTCGAAATTTATCACATTTTTTTTATTCTTTGAAGAAAGGTATATACATTTTTAATCTGTTTGATCTATTATTTATATTTCTTTCATTTTAATTTAGATGATATATATGTTGAAAACATTGTCTAAAATCTTTGCATGTCAATAAAAAGCACATCTTACAAAAGTAAATTTTATGAAAAATACAACCTGGAATTTTCCGAATCTAGAATGTGTACGATATTTCATGTGGCTCTTGCTAAGGGACAGACTGCTTACCAACCTTAGTTGATGGTGTCGAAAACTCACTCACGAATCTCATTGTCAAATTTGTGGACCATTTACAATCCACATTCTTCGAGATTGTGTCGTGATTAGATCTCTTTGGTCCTCTATTCTTCACCATATAATTGAAGGTTTCAGTATCCCTTGAAAAATTTTGTTCTCGTGGTTGGTGGTGCACAAAGAGTTGAGGGCACATATCCCACACTGAGAAGGAAAATACCATCATCTTAGTTAATGTGGTGAAACAACTCTTTTTTACACGTGTTGCAACCATCATCTTAGTGGTTGTGGCTATGGCAATATGCGTCTTTGACACATTTGCATGCGTTCTAAATTTTTAGAGAAAATACGGAAAAATTTCCATGAAATTATTTTTTAAAAACTGAAATGAGATTATTTGAATCATATTTATGGGCAAAACAAATATTTAAATCAGTGTATTAGCTCATTGCTAGAATTATTTGTTGACAGGTATAAATTAGGAATAAATATGTTGTAATATTACAGCTGTAACAACTGTTAATATTTGGAAGATTGACTGATGAATTTCCATAGTATTAACTTGGACGGTTTTGGGGTTAGATTCCAATCTTCAAGGGATTTACTTCAGCTGTTTGATTTTCTGATATATAGTTGCCATAACAACTATAATTTTGAATTTTTATCAATTGATTTAAAGGGAATTAAATCATTTGTTTGACTTGCTGATATATAGTTTTCATAATAACTATAATTTTGAACGAATCTAGATAATTTTAAGGTCAGATTCATCTAGATATAACAAGTTAATTACGACATTTATTCAGTCATTATTTTTGGGAATTAAATATGTGTCTTTATGATGGATTTATGTGGACATTTTTATCCCCATAAATAAGCTTATAAATAGATGATCATTCCAACATTTTCAATCATCCAACTCAAAAACAATTTTCATATTTCCTTTATAAATCCCTTTTCTTTAAAGCTTTTTCTAAACTTGCTTTTTCTGTTGCTAAAAGAATAGAAATATATTCGTCAGTCCACTCTGATTTTTGGGTGCACGATTATTTAGAGTTATCGTGTTAATCTCGGGGGACGATTGCCTATTGTTGCAATTAAACATATCAAGGCAAAATCATTTCTAAGGTAGTGGTTCATACTACGACACGATTATTACTTTGCTACTTATTTTGTTTATAATTATCCAGTCAGTGCTAATAATTTGATTTTGCAGTACTTTTAACCAACAATTTAGAAACGATTTCATACTGCAAAATGTCAAATATCGGTCAAAGCTTGTCAAACAAACTATTTGACATGTTTCTCAATGAGAAAAGTGCAAAGGCTATATGGGATACGTTGGAGAAGAAGTATGGAGCCGATAATGCCAGCATAAAGAAGTACATGGTCGGTGAATGGCTCAAATTCCAGTTGTTCGTTGACAAGCCGATCATGGATCAAGTTAATGATTACAAGAAGCTAGTATCTGAAATCCTATCCGAGGGCATAAAGATGTGCGATGTCCTACAAGTAAATGTCCTTATTGAAAAGTTGGCCAAGTCCTGATTTGACTACCACAACACTTTGAAACACAAGAAGAAAGTGTACACAATTGGGGAACTGGCGAGCCACATGAAAATAGAGGAAGCCAATCGAATTAAGGATAAATTTATATCTTTTAATAATCTTTCTTTTAAAGCTAATCTGGTTAAATTTGGGTCTGCCTCAGGGTATAAATTTAATAAGTCAAAATGATGAGTTGATTAGAGGTAGAAGGTCAAAACTAAGAAGTTTGTCAACTTTAAGAAGCATTTGAAAGATAAGGCTCCACCAAAGCTCTTCAACTGTTATATGTGCGAAAGAGTCGAACATAAAACTTACCAGAGTCAACAATGATCTGATCGCCAGAATGAGAACAAACTACAACTGAACATTGTTGATAATACTAACGATGTCATAGCAGCGGTGGTTTCTAAAGTCAACCTGGTGAAGAACAATACTGAATGGATTGTAGATATTGTCACCTTCAAACATTTCTACTCCAAACGAGATCTTTTCATTGAGTTTAGGATGTGAAGAATGGTAAACAAATGTACCTAGGGAACTCTATCAACTCTGAAGTGCTAGGTAAAGGGAAGATTTTACTAAAGTTAACCTCTCATAAAACTTTAGCTTTGAATAATGTTCGATATGTACTTGCCCTATGTAGGAATCCAATTATTAGTGAGTTATTGAATAAGACAATCATTAAATTAGTTTTCGAAGCAAATAAACTTAAACTATAATACCCCAAATAGTGGGTCGGTGACCATAATAAAAGAATTTGAAATTTAGGGGAATAAATTGAATAAATGGTCAAGTATAAGAAATTATTTAGAAATTGCATTTGAGACCAATTGGTAAGAATGGAAGAATGAAAGGGGAATTTTGGTCATTTAAAGGGAAATTGATTTAAAATTCATTTTAATTAGGGTATTTAGGATGAGGAAAAAGGGGAAAGGTGAGAAATAAGCTATGTTCTCTTCTTCTTCCCCTGTTGCCCATGCTCTCCTCCATAGGCAAAGGTAAGACTTCATCTAGCTAGTTTTTCCTTTCGTTTCTGGTTTGTTCTTGAAACCTTAAGTGAACTGTAAGCTTAAGGAAGGGTTAAAGAGGATTAAAACTAAGAAATAGATGATTTATTTGAGATTGAAGAAAATGGGTTTTTGAGTGATATGTTGAAATATGAGTTTTTATTGAGGATTACAAGATATTTGACTTGTCAAATAAGTAAATAAGAGATTAGAAGCCTTGGATGTGATTAAAAACATGTATGAAAAAGTAGTATTTTTAGTTTGGGATGTTCTTTCGATATTTTAGATGTTATAAGAAGTTAAATGGAGGAAAGTTAGTTGGGTTAAGTAATGGTGAGTTTAATGGTATTATTGGAGGTAAAAATAAGAGATTTAAACGACATTTGGGCAAAAATTGAGCTGAAAAATGGAAAATTTGGGTAAGGGTATTGGTACTGGAAGAACAGTACCGATACTATAGGTTTAAATTTGAAGAAATATGATGAACAATATCGATACCGATGCAATTAGTATCGATACTGATGTCGGTATCGATACTAAGATAAAGGTATCGATACCATGGATTGCAGAATGCAGAAATGGTATCGATACTGAAAGGGAGTATCGGTACCATAGTATAGAAGTATCGATACCATGGTAAGGGTACCGATACTATT